GGAAGGTGGTTTTTTTTTTTTTTTTTTTTCCTTTTTTTTTGTCTTTTTTCGTGACCGGCAACGGATCGGATCGCAACCCTCAGTGTCGCACCCGTACCGGACCGGGACCGGCAACGGGATCGCAACCCTCGGTGTTGCCCCCGCTCCTCGCTCAGCCAGTGAGCGGCCGGTCTGTATGTGGGATCTGAACCCTCGGCGGGAACGCCGCCGCACTTCCCAAGCGGTGCACTGTAGCAGTGCGCCACCGGGCCGGCCCACTTTTGTTGTTGTTTTGAAATAAAAAACGTTCTGATTCTTAACACATCAACACTGAGTATTATAATGGAAAACATTTAATTGAGGACCCTTAAGGTCATAAATCTGTATGAGATCTATGGAAAACAAATTCCTGTAACCACAAATATGTTCACCTTGTCTCAGGGGAAGAGGAGCCAGAATGATGTAAGCACATTTGCTTTCCAGAGTAATTTACCATTTTGGCATATCCATGAACTGCTCTTTTAAAAGTGCTTTTGATGCTCACATGAATAGCACATTATGTTACTAAGATATTAGTAGTTTTACAAGAAAGCAAGGGAATAAGAACATATATTTCGGGGACTCTATTTTCTTTTGAACCCTATTGATTAGGTCAAGCAAGAAGGTTTTTTGTAAATGCTGTGACTAAATCTTGGTATGCTTTTACTTTAAGCAAGGGAGGAGTTTTACTGACATTTGGATGTCCTAGATATTTTTGACATCAATCCCCAAGATGATTCTTCCTGGAGGTTCTTTGGCCTTTAACTGGGTTTCCTAATGTTCACATTTTTAGTTTACCATTAGCAACAGGAAAATATTTCACTGCTAGTTTTCAGTATTTATCATGTAGACCATTATATAAAAAGAAAAAAATGAATAGTATTTGAGTGGCAACTGTGTGCCAAGTGACATGTGTTATTTCACTTAATCCCTATGTTGGTCCCATGAGATAGGTTACATTATTATCTTCGTTTTACTGATGAAGAAACTGAGACATAAAATGAGTTATATGTGCAAGATCACACAGCTAGTAAGTAACTGAGACAGAATAGGAAAACAAGTCAGCCTGACTTTAGAACCTGTATAATACAGCCAGTGATGCATTTATTTGTCCTAAGGAGGCTACCTAAAGAAGAGGCTTCCTATTTCACATTATTGTCAAATTGCTTATCAAATAGAGGACTGTTTGAAAATTTAAATCATTTAATTGCAAAGCGAGTTTTTTTACAGTGTCTTAAAATTGACTTGTGCATTCATTTGTGTGCCAGGCAGTGTGCTAGGTTATAGGAATTTACAAGTGAATAAGATTTTGCTTAGTATCAGGTAGTCAGTCAAGGGAAGACTACTTTGTATAGGGGAAAAAACCTGGATTAGAATTTAAGAGTTCTAAATGGCCTTGGGCAGGTCTGTCTCCCTGTCTGGGTCTGTTTCCTCATCTGTTAAATGGAGATGTTAGACTTCGTGATTTATCATCCCGTCCATGACTCATAACCATTGCTATAAGTTGTAGAACTCATTTCCAAATGAGAATCTTTGCTATGTACACTAGGTCTATGACGATGGGCAAGTCCCTTCCTCTCCCTGGGTGTCTGTGTTCTCATCTGTAAAATGAGGAGGTTGGACTAGATTAGCTCTATTAATTCTGACATTCAATAAATGCTAAGATGGTTTTTGTCTTACAAATCAGGAAAATATGGGGGCTGGCCCGTGGCTCACTTGGGAGAGTGCGGTGCTGATAACACCAAGGCCACGGGTTCGGATCCTATATAGGGATGGCCGGTTCGCTCACTGGGTGAGTGTGGTGCTGACAACACCAAGTCAAGGGTTAAGATCCCCTTACTGGTCATCTTTAAAAAAAAAAAAAAATCAGGAAAATATGTTTACGGTTATCTCCTACTTTTGCTACAGGAAGTAGCAGTAACTATTAGCAGTAACTGCCAAAATAACCAGAGGAACAGGCCCTTTAATGCAATGGGAAGAGCAAAGTAATTGATACATTGGATGAGCCCTGTGGTTCTTAACATGCTTTGCAGATCTTAGCTCATTTTGCCTAGAAACACAAAAGTGGACTGTGTATGATAAAGATTGCTTATATAATGACTACATATGATATAACCTAAAATAGAGTCCATTTGAATTCAGTACTTGCAAATTTGATAATTGAATTTAACTTTTTGATTTTTATTTGATCAAAATAATACATGTACATAATTTTAAAAGTCAAAGAATATTATAGGACTTATAGAAAAAAAAAAAACAAAAAAAAAAACAAAAAAACCCCAGCTGTCCGTTGCCTCCCGCCCCCGATTTCTGCTTCCAGAAAAGATGCCTACAACTTTCATCTTTGAGACATTACCTTATATTATTTCTCACATAATATTTTTCCTTCTATTTTCTCTATTTCTGGAATTCCTATTGGTTGGATATTGGACAACCTGAACTGAGTCTATAATTTTCATGTCTTTTTCTCACATATTCCATTTATTTGTCTTTTACTTTTTGAGAGATTTCCTTAACTTGATCTATCTGAGCCTCAGTCCTCATCTGTAAAATGTTGATAAAAGGACCTACCTCATAGGGTTATTGTGAGGTGTTGATGAAATAAAACATATAAAGTGCTTAGCACAGTGAACTTAAATAAGTGGTAGCTGTAATTGCACATACTGTTATTGTGAGACCAGTTCTTTCTATCTTCTCATGTGAAAATGATAATCCTGGTGGTAGCAATATATCTTGATTTTACAATATCATAATATTTACCTTCATTGTACTGAATTTGTAATGACATGATATTTTTCAATTATGCTGTTTTTAGAGAAAAAAATCTATGGTATAAATTCAATTAGCAATATTAACTCTTTTATTTATGCTTCTAAAAATACTTAAAAGTAGCTTTTTCTTTTTTCTTTTCTTTCTTTCCACACTCCCTTCATCCCTGGGATAGATGAGAATTGGATAGCTGCTCCTTGACAGTAAAAGAAGTAGTTTGGAGCCCCAAATAACCATTTTCTCAGGTTGAAAATGCAGTGTAAACTTTTAATGTGTGAGGGTTGCTGTACACTCTGCCATGCAGCACAAAATAAGGCTGGCCAGTACCTGAGGGCACTGAAGAGACTAACAGATAATTAAACCCCAAGCCCCAGAGGAGGACTGGATTACCTGTGAACTTTTTAGCCAAGGGTTGCCCTGCCTGCACTTAATGGCTCCATGGAGACTAAAAGTAGAATTACAGAAAAAGAAGGTCCATAAGCCAAAAACAATCTAGCCTTGCTACTTTCTCCATTCATTCATTCATTCATTCATTTATTCAGGCAGAGATGATATTAAAACTCTGTGACATAGGAACCAACCAATCAGATCAGATGCTGGCTGTAATTACTTGGTAGGTATTTACCTCTTCTGGATTCACAGATATTTATTGAGTGTTTACCAGGGGCCAGCACTGTGCTAGGCAATATATGATGCTGGGCAAGTTCCTTTCTTTTCTCAGAGCTTCAGTTTTCTCACCTGTGAAAAGTGAGTGAGTGCAGGGGTCCCTTCAGGTCTAACATCACAATCAATAAAACGGTAACTTTTAATGGTTTTTAGGAAAATAATGAAAGCAAGTATAGAAAAACAGCAGCTGATCCAAGACTTCTAGATTTGAAAATGTGGGGGGGGGGACCAGAAAATGATTCTATGAGTTATTGATTGACTTGAGAATTGAGCTAAGAATGAATTCAAATTTCTTATCTACATGATGTTTCCAAAGGCACTAGAGAGGAGACAAAGATAGCTCTAATCAAAAGGTGAATTTTTTTTACAACGTTGACATTCAAGTTGCACCCCACTAGCCCCCACCAACATGCATACACAAGACACACACCTTCCCCCTTCAGAGTCTACTACTTTCTTTTAGCATCTCTCCAGCTGCCACCACCCCCAGACCCTCGCTTTCAGTGTCTGGCAGTAGCTTGTTCACTGGCAAGAATCCATGTTCTGGGTCTTTCCTAATTTCTCTTTTCAGACTTTCCCTGCCTCATTTTCTGTTCCTTTTGGTCTCTGCCTCCAAATAAGACATTTGATCAGTTCAGCCTTGCTAATGTGGTCAAGGAGGGCTAGGAAGT